ATCTACTAGGGAGTGAGGTTCATTGTCAATACATCTGTGAAACTACTATTCTGACTTCTTATGGACTCAAAGACAAGGGGACACCTGTGGTTATATCTTGCTTATACAAATAAAGCCAGTTGGAAGGTCAGAGAATGGAACTTACCATTAGCTAACTATTGAGGTCTGTACAGACAGACAAGAAGTGAGGTGGCTGGGCAGAAACAGGAAGTGAGATGGCTGGGTGAAGAGAGGATATAAGCCGGAAGAAACAGGAACTCATCTCTCGTCTGCTGAGATGCTAAGGAGGTAAGGTGTGGCTATGGCTTGCTCCTTGTTCTCTCTGATCTCTCAGCATTTTCCTGTATGTCTGACTCTGGGCTTTTATTATTTAGACCAATTAAGAACTCCACTTACATTTTGGCATTCAGTGTGGGGCACAAAAGCCACACCTTACCATTTGTGGAATAGTTCCAGCATCCTTCTCCTAAGATAGGGAGTTCCCCAGATGTTCAAGTCATTCACACAAAATGGCTAAATATTTATATATAACCTATAAACAATCATCCAGATACCTTGTCATTCCTGAATTACTTATAATACATTTATTGGTTACCTCCCATCACTACAATGCATTATATGATATAAACAGCATTTTTTAAAAAGCCTTATTTGAGCTGATGGTTTTAGAGGGTTTAATCCATGTCACTTGGCTCCAAGGACCTGGGTATTGTGGTGGTAGGAGTGCATGGTGCAAAACTAACCATCTTGTGACGGACAGGAAATAGAGAGTAATTAAGAGACTAGGCATGCAGTATAACGTTTAAAGGCATATTGATGGGAGATGTCATTCTGTAAATATGTTACTCTTGTTGGTTAATAAATAAAGCACTGTTGGCCAATAGGAAAGCAATCTAGGTGAGACTAGGAGACAAGGAGGATTCCGGAAGAAGTAGTAGGAGATTGAAAATGTAGGATGGGGAGAGCAGAACGCGGGCCCCTCTCTCTTGTAAGAATATCACGTGGAAATACTTAGAATAATAGAAATGGGTTATATTTAAGACAGAGCTAGCCAATAAGTAATACTAGTAACTGGCCAACAGCATTATATCTAATACAGCATCTCTGTGTGTTATTTGGGGCTGGCGCGGCTGTGGGACCAGGCTGATGGAAAAACCTGCTCGTAACAAAATGGTGCGGGACACCATATATTGATGTTTAATAAGGATCAGGAGAAACAAATAGGCCGAATAGATGTTTATTCAGGGAGAAATAACTTACAACATAGATGAACACCAGCAGGTTCCTAGTCCCAAGGATGCCTTTGGATGTTCTCCTGTCCTTGTGCTACAAGCAAGAGAGCTCCCGGAGCCCCCTCCTCAGACTTAGTTCCCCCAGGTAACGTCCACCCCTATCCCCACCCCAATGGGCGTGGTCTGTGCCACAGGTGTGGACAAAGTGAATATCTCACTACAGCATATTCCCAGTAACCTACTTCCTCCAGTTACTCTGTCTCCTGATTTTTCCAATCTTCTAATGTAGTATTCTATACTCATTCAAAACAGAGCCTGTCGGAATATTTCATATTAAAATTATAACAATACCTTATTCAATATAAATGCTATGTAAAGAATTATAGTATTTATCTTGGTTAGCAAATAATGATGATAAAAATGTGTGTGCTTGCTCTACATAAACATAGGGATTTTTTAAAAAAATATTTTCTGTCTACAATTAGTTGAATCCACAAATCAGAGCCTGCGAATCAGAGGGATGAGTGTGAAATACAAGACCTCTGTATGGCACATGACTTACACTGACTTCTGGGCACCGAGGGATAGATGGCATCGGAGCACAGGGACCACTGTGGAGTCCTCTGACTTGTTAGTAGTGGATACATAGGTGTTCACAATTTTCAAAGCTCACTGACTAGAACATGTAAGATCTGTCCATTGTTGTTAAGTTGTACTTCAGCTGAGAAGGAAAGTCTCACAAGGATGATCAAGGCAGATACTATAATTGGGGGAAGAGGCCAGATGTGAGACAGCAAGAAACCATGAATATAGTGACAGACTGTTGAGCCTCATACATGGAGGTGGCCACTCAGTCGCGGTGTTTGCCTCACCTTCAGAGACTGCTTCCAGATAAGCTAAAATGCTTAATTTTCTTCTCAGACTCTTCTCTTTATTACCTCATATATTATCATATATTACCTCATAATCATTGCTCTAATATTTTGGCAAAATTTCATACATTTACAGTATAGCACTTTACATTTTGTCATGCAATAGTCCTGTGTATCAACAGGCTCTATATTTACAGATTTTTTCAACCCTCAGGTCAAAAATGTTAAAGGAAAAGGAATTATGTTTGTATTGAATGAGTGCAGACATTTCTTTTACCATCATATTCTACTCAGTACAATATAATAGTTGTTTGCATAGTATTTGTATTGCACTGAGAAATCTAAATAATCTAGGTATTTAAATTATTTAAGGAGATTTGCACAGGTTATATGTAAGCACTATGCCATTTTCTGTACAGGACTTTTAGTATCAGCATATTTTGGTATCTTGATAGAAGTGCTACTAAATAACAATACCCACAGAGGATTGTATGTGTATATTGTGAAGAACTAATCAACACATCCATCCCCTCACATGGTCTTTTTTGGTGAGATTATTAAGATCAATCCTCTCATCAATTTTCAAGTATAGCATGTGTTAACTACAGTTGCCATGCTGTTTAGTTGATCCTCAGAATATTCATTCTGTATAGCCAGACACCTTTATTTTCTTATCAGATTGCATTGTTTTAGAGCTATTAAATAGTGGTTTAAAACAAACAACTACAAAAGAACAAAATTGAGGCCTGGGACGATGGCTCAGTAGGTGAAGGCACTGTGCAAGCACTAGGACCAGAGTTAGGATTCCTAGAAACACACACTCACCTGTGCACATGCACGCATGCACGCGTGCACACACACACATGCAAACATGCTAATATGCACACATATTCATGTACATACACATGCCAATAAAAAGGAGGTGGTAATTATTGAACTTGGAAAGTAAACATGTGCTTAATAAGAAATAGCCCCTGATGGAAATAAATTTCAATAAAGAGCTCAAGTATTTTTGTCCAAACATTGTCAGTTAATTTAGTTAGAGTTGATGTGGACAGCGCTTGCTATCTCTCCTGTGCATACTTGTTTATATTTTAGCTACTAGGTTATGAGCAACAGGCAGCATGCTTGCTTCTTTAATCTTGATCCATAGTGACAAGCCATGCTGATGAAGACACTGGGAAGTATCTGCAGACACAGCTTATGCCCGGGCTTTTACTGTGAAATGTGTCCTCTGGACTCCTGGGGACTGTGTGAACATTGGCAAGGAACAGCCTTGCTCGTGGGATCAGTTTGAGTGTACTCTGCTAGATTTAGATTTTTAGAGACTATGTACAATACTGGGCATGTATGGTTCAGATGCTGGCCCTTATCTGTTTGAGTAGTATAAAAATAAGAATTTTAACTTGTGTGTAGTTACTAGGCTAGTATATCATACACACTTTAGTTTTAGCCTACCACTTGAATTTAATAAAGTTATCACCTTACCAAATGTCTTGCAAGGTGTTTATTATTGCATTTGTTTTTCTGTCAGCATCTGATTGTGTCAGGTGATGGGAGTGGTGCAGGACATTAGAAATAAGGAACTCAGCAAGCTGTGAGCCCTCCTTCAGAAGAGCCCTAATTCAACAGAATTTGGAATTATAAGAATTATATCAACAGCCGGGCATTGGTGGTGCTTGCCTTTAATCTCAGCACTTGGGAGGCAGAGGCAGGCTGATCTCTGTGAGTTCAAGACTAGCCTGGTCTACAAGAGTGAGTTCCAGAACAGCCTGCAAAGCCACAGAGAAACCCTGTCTCGGGGAAAAAAAAGATATCTAGATTAAAATAATGTATCTTACAATACTGGTTTTAAAGCCTGATGTGGAACTAATGTTAGGTTTGCTACTGAACACTTTGGGCTTGTTTCCATGACCTTTTCTAGAGGATTCCAACTCTGTACCATCTATCATTTAAAGAAACTGATATATATATCAGTATATATATATATATTACTATAACTTTCTTATTTTGTAATTTCACATTGTGTATGTGCTGTACTGTTTCTAATTAAAGCAAACCTTTTCTTTGCCCTCAAGGGTTTAATGTCTGTGTTGTTTATCAATGGACCTTTTCCTTTATGTCGTTGGTGCGCTGTTATCTACCTCAGGTTATTGTCTTGTACTCTTTTCAGTATTTGGTATGCATTAATGTGCTCAGGATTCCATCACACACCATTAGTAGGTGGGGCTGAATACTGAGAAACTGTACTGTGTGTTGAAGCAGAAAGTCCGTTCCACAATGCTCTTGCTTCTCTCATAATTTCAAAATAGCTTTTCCTCTCTTTGTAGTAAGCCAAACATGAAATGTTCTCACATTGTTATGTACCTAGTAATACAACATTTTTTTCTGTTGCTCCCTTCTATTAAAGTCTTACTAATTAGAAATCCGTGATGCTTCTGCTTTGTTTATTCAAGTTTAAAAATGGGTAGTTACAGTAACCCATTTAGACCTGAGGAGAATGGTTGTCATTAGGAAATGGATGCAGGCCTGTTGTTTCCCTTTTATATGACCTCTTGTGGTTTTCTCCCTACATTCACCCCTGCTTATCCCTGAGGTTCCCCTGTGTCTTGGAGAAAGTAAATGGCCAGCCACTCCAGTAAAGCTGCCCTGAGTTAGAGGCAAATCACTGTGGGAGCCAAAATAGAAATTGACAGTTTTTATTTCATTGTGTGGTCCTTGTTGCTACGGCCAGTTTAAAAAGATGTTATGCTGCTGCTAGTCATTTCATTTGAAGCTATTCCTTTAAAATAATCATTTCATTGGATGGAGGCTTGCGACTGGTAGTTTAAAAACAAACAAACAAACAAACAAACAAACAAAGTGTTCTTTAACCTGTCTTCCTTTCTCTTTGCAGTTCTGAGAAATGGTGCTTGGGAAATTGTTCACTGGGAGAAGGTATGTATTAGTTTTCATTTTGTTCCATAAGAAATGCATAGAAGTGTACTCTACAGGCATAATGTCAACCACTCCACTAATGTGGAACCGTTTAGTAGTTAACATAAAGATTTGTGAAGTCTCCACTTAGTTGCCTGCACTAAGCATTTCAGCACTCTTCCAGCAAGGCCATTCTTTTGGGAAGTACTGTCCAGAACATTTTTTGTTTCTCAATACATTTTGAGTATTCTTTTCATAGATTTTATTTATTTATTTATTTATTTATTTATTTATTTATTTATTTTGTTTTGTAAACTTTGTTTTAATCATCTACTGTCCAAGTAAAAACAAAATTGAGTTCTGATATTTCATATTTGCATGGTTTATTTCAAATTCATGTGGTGAACCACCCCATTTACTTATTGCTACTATTTTATGAAAAGTTAATCATACAAGCTAAACGTCACTTTCTAACGAACATGCTCCAGAGGTAGATCTGCTAGCTGGCCTCCATCTCAGCATTTAGTGAGTAGAAACATACTATGGCAACAGTTACTCAGGCGTCCATTCTTGTAAGTCCTTATTTGCAAAAGGTAAGCAATGATGACTGTCAGTTCTTACTTAGTTCCAGAACTTGGATCCCCCAGTCATCCATAGTGAATAGCCTTGGTGGCTCATTTGATGGCTTTTTGGAGGCCACTGCAGCAGACACTGGATGTGTATCTCACAGGACAGTATCTTGCTGGAACAACAAAACTGTTGTGTGTTGCCCATTCATTTACACTTCATCGGAGTCCACGCACTTGATTCTCCCTTCTGAAATTTATGGTCACCTTCTTCCCATGAAGGAATAGGATCTCTTCCCAATAAGAAATCCATTTTTGTTGATTTTTTTTTTTTTAAATCAGTGGCTAGACTAGGAATTGACATCTCTTCCAGAGACATGGAAATTCATATCTTTCTGTTTTCTGGTCTTTGACATTAAAGTAATAAGGAGGAAAATACCTTCATGGTGTTGTGTTTCTGTGGTGATCAGCTCTGTTTCAGAAGAATAAAGGAGAAAAATGAGACAGCTGAAAACAACTCTGAGGGGTCATTGGCTTTATGGGCTCATCTGGTACTTGAGGCTTTAGACATTTTATAGAGAAGACAGATGGAGTATAGTCAGATACAGTGGATTGAATTTGGGTGTCTTACATTACCAGGATTGTCAGTACAGTTAACAGAAAGGCACATTTTTGAGAATTATTATATCAGTTTTTTTCTCTTGCCTAGACTTCTTGCTCTGGGAATATACAGTCAAGTAGTAACTCTCTTCTGCTCCACTGTAAAATTAACCTTCAAATGTTCCTAATGACAACTATTATTTTGAGGCTATGCTACTCTACATGGATTACTGTAACCATCAATTTTTAAAATTTTAATAAACAAAGGCAGTAATAAATCACTGTGTTTACTCATAATGATAACATTGTTAGTTATTCTTGAAGTCAGGGCCAAACTTTACATGCATATTCCATATTATGCTATGAAAAGATAGAATTTAGATTGTTGCCTAAAAGCCACTCAGATGAAAAGAGCTGAAGTTATTTAGTCGTTATAACAAGACAATTACATTCCCATAGCTGGTTCAGTGATGAATTCAAGATAAACATATAAAACTAACAATATTTTGATGTCTGCAGTATCATTAGGAAACGGAAAAAGAGATCTCATTTCTACTGATATGTGGGATGCTAGGAAACAAAACCTGTATGACCTGTGGAAAGAAAGTAACTGACCTCAAACTGAGGCAATCTTCCTGAATCGGCTTCCTGAGCGCTGGGATCACAGACAGGTGCTATCACACCAGCCTCGCTTATGTGACTCTTTAACATCTAAAGGAAGGCTGCTTCCTCCCCCCCAAGAAAAAGATTCAGATAAATGCACAAATATATGCTATTTCAAAATTAAAAATAAGAGATCACTTATTTCAAATTACTAGTGTAACATAATCTCAAAGAAATTATCACTTACCTTAAAAGTCTGTTTCAAAAATAGATATTAAGGAATAAAATAGAAAAGAATATAGTGTCCTGAAATGAGGCATGTTCAGTATTTGGTAAGTGAAGCAAAAATTGCAGATTGGCAGACTAAGAAATAATACTTGAATATTTAGGTTACATCTAAATCGTGATTTGTGCAAAATTAAATTCCATCTGGCTAAAAGAATCAATTGCTAAAATACTGTTTTTAAATACAAACTAATAGAACAAAGATCTTTGAGAAAGTATTTGGAAAAGATCAATATTTCATGATTATATAAATTTAAATCTACATATAGCAAAAGATGCCACAGATAAATACGGAATGTTTTAAATATTTGTACCAAATAGAACAAAAGATTCATGCCATTATTCTTCAAGCAGAAAAATCAAAAGTCTGTAATAAGCAAGAAGAAAAAAACTAGATTTGGTATGATGGCAAACCAACAAAAGTTGCAAACAAAAAAATTAATATTTTATTCATGATAAACTTGTATTCTAGAAATGTTAATTTACATTGCATTAATATGCCATTGTAGACTAGTATTTTGGCTGTTCATGATGAAAATCATATAGAAAAGATCCTGATAATTTATAGTCCATTTCTATAAATAATAATGAAGTGGGAGGAAGTCTACATATGCAAAAATGTTTTCATAATATTTAAAACTAATATATACATGCAGTGGAGAAAAGACAAGTAAGTTACAACATCCTGTGCTCATATTTTATGACAAGTAAAATTTTAATTTTACATAATATGATGACACAGAAAACTTTATACATTCATTCAATAACTATTTATTAAATGTATGTGCCAAGCAGTGAGTGAGCTCATAGCTGGTAACAGAACATGTAGTGTCTCCTAGATCATAAAATATAATTATAGGTGAAAAGAATAGGCCTGTCTATACTGAGCTTCCAGTCGTGTAAAAAAATAATGTTATTGAGCAAATAGCAAACACAAAAGCAGACTTCCTTGTTGGCCTAGCCATGTTGCTAGTTCAGGTCTTGTCTTGGTTCACATGATACTTTGTAGAGTGAAAAATAAACTTAATATACCCAAACCAATAATGTCATCCACATGCAGATGTAATGAGAAACTCTCATGCAAATGGACTTTGCTTCTGGGTTTTTTTCACTGTGTTTCTAAGCATGTGGGTGCTTTTAATGGTCCTCAGAGGTCCTATAGATTTGTTTCCATACATCTAGTCATCACAGAACAACAGCAGGTCTTGGATGTTAATAGCCCAGCCCTCCAGATTGCAGTGAAGAGATTTCTCTATTACAAAGGTGAAGTTTTAAGAATCTGATATTAAAACAAAGTGTTACAATGACAAAGCAACCCCCCCCAAGAATATGTATCTCTTGAAACATAAGCATCTGGCCTCATTGCTCTTACCACAACACACAGGCCAGTTCTTCACTCTGCCAGGCAGAGATTGCTGCTCATGTTCTTGGGACAGGTACAGGTACAGATAAAGAATTTAGGTGAATGATCTTGAAACCAAACGTACTTCGTTTGGATACACAGCACAGTGAGCTGCATGGGTCTCTCAAAGTCACTCTGCAAAACTATTTAATGCATACGTTCCCACCATGAGATAGATTTCTTTGGATAAAACCCGTATCTTCCAAAATTCTTGGATAAGAATGTACATATATTGTTACCTAGAACTAGAAATAGTTTGATTCTTAAACAAGTCCTTTATAGTTTGATAATTTTTAACACCCCCCCTTCCTAATCCTTGATCCTAATTGCTCATGTCAGTGGCTTGAGGAAATTCAAGTTGGTGGAGAGCCCTAAATATTTCCTTAATGTCCTCCAGTTGGGTTGTGGTCAAAGACTATCTCCCACCACAGCCTCCCCTTCTTATGAAAAAATGCCATGGTAAGAGGCCAGAACCAGAGGGAGACAAAGCTACTTGTGTACCTTTGAGAAACTGATCTAAAACATAGGCAACTAAGGGAGTCCACTGATATCCTCAAATGGTGAGGACTCCTGGGGTAATGAGTAAGCTCTTGGCTTTCCCAGGCTGCTAGAGTCACCACAGTGCACCATGTTATGTTTTCTAACTTAATAACCCCAAGGCCTTATGTTGTCTTGCAATGAATGAAGAAGTTGGAATGCCCTGCCTCCAATAGATGCTTCATGAATAGATGCTTCAACCTAACTCTAACGGAGGTAATGCAGCCCTGGTTTTATGAAGCATGTAGTCGAATGGAGGGGAAACATTAACAAAACATAGAGGGTGATTAGGGAATGATTAAGTAGTAATCAGGATGGCATTCCCTCTTAACTGCCTTAATTGCAGAGCTTTTGCCTTTCATAATCTTCTTGTCCTTAGTTGTGTTAGCTGTCACTGCACATTTTTAAGGGATAGCATGTATTTATGCTTACCAGTTTTATAGTTGCTTTTTTGTTTTGTTTTCTTTTTTGGTATTTTCACCCTCTTTTGAAGTAATGGATGTTCACTTCCAGCATCCTTGCTATTTTGGCACTTACAGCTAAGCCACATGGCAAGTTTCAACTAAAGTAATTTTGTTTTTGTTTTTAAGAGCATGACATCCAGCACTTTCCTACTTAAGCAACTAGTGTACATACTATAGATTATAAACGGTCCTCTCCAACTTTCACTCACCTGTTTCTCCCAATATATAAAACAGAACACAATGACTCCATCAGCAGTAATTCCCTAGAGTGATTCCCACGAAGGGAGCAGGGCGAGGTTGTTGCTGAGTGGAAAATGCGTTCGTTGTTTGCCAAAAGCAGTAAGAACACTGACAAATTACTTCTTATAGTTTCTGGCCACAACAGAACTTTAACTCATCTTCATACCATAGTCAGGGAGGGTAAATATATAATAAAAATAACTTGGCTGTTTATTTTATTTGAATTATAATGTTATGCAAAACTCGGGCTATGTGATGGGTAGATGTGGATTTGAGTCTCAGCTTTTCAACTCACCCTGAACATGTGATTCAGAAACTTATAGAATATTAGATGTTCCCTCCCTCCCTATAAATTAGAGTTACCATTTTTTGCATGAGGGTCTTTGCATAATGGTCATCATAGATATGACCATTTCTTCAATTGTACTGAGACTTCCTTAAGTAGGGTAGACGTTTTCACCAGTGGATTCCTCCTCCTTATTTTTATGTCAAAGAGAGAACATTTAAGAAGTTGTGATGTCAATCAAGTGGGTATAATTGTTCAATAAATTTTATTAAGATAAGTAACAGATTAAAAACAGTTATACATTTACCCCTATTTACCTCTAAATAATTTTATGCCATTTTTGTGAAGATTAGAATGGGTTTTTATGGGGTTTTTTTATTCTGTATATTATTAATACAATGGGTTGTACTTTTTTTTTTTTTTTTTTTTTTTTTACTATCTTTCCATGCAGATAATTAACCAATTCCCAGTTTTCTTTCAGGTAAATGTTGGAGATATAGTTATAATAAAAGGCAAAGAGTATATACCTGCTGACACTGTCCTTCTCTCATCAAGGTAGAGACACCTACTGATGCTCAAACAGTGTAGAGGATGGGTTCTCTACCCTGCATTGACCTTGTGATTTCTCCAAGGAAATAAAGAATAAACGAAGAATTTCAAACCTCTTATGATTTTTAATTAAGCATTTAAAAAAGGATTGGCTTCATGTTTGCCATACAGATTAAGTACTGGCTGCTGCACAGTCCAAACTTGAGAGTTTCTTTTCCTCTGGCTACATCCACATCCTTGTGGTGTGTGTGTGGGCCACTAACTCTGTTTAAGATTCCCTGTCATTTGCTTTCTGCCTTCCATGGATTGGGCTCTGTTGATTTTTCTCTTTCAGTCCTCATTCATAAATTCCTTTTTGGTGCAATAATCCTCTCTCTTGCAAACTTTCCTATTTTTGTTATGGTGAAATGGTACAAGAATATAGATGAGTGATTTTTTTTGTCATTGTACCTTTCTAAATGATAGTTTCCAACCAAAAATTTAGTACTTTAGTCTTTCTTTTCAGACTTTCCTGTTACTGAATTTAGATATTTTTTGTTGTATTCACATTTAAGATAGTTGTGAATCAGTATTCAGAACATATGTCCTTAGAATTAAAAACTATCACATTAGGATAATGTATAAATTTAGGATTTAAAACCTTAAAACTAGTCCTAAAATAAATCAAGAAGAAATGTCTTTTAATATTCTTGAGGCTGTTTATCATCATTTCCTTGGACAGTTTGATTTGTAATTTCCACATAAAAAATATGGACAGTGTCCTTTTTTCAAAATCTATTTAATCAGGTCATGGTTTGGAATGATTGGATTTTTGACAAGTTAGTGAATCATAAATAGGAAACTAGTAGTTCCTTGGCTGTTTATAGACACAGGTGTTTAGGGATTTGAAGTAACTCAGGGTGTTTTTATTTCCTCATTTTGTAACACAAAGATTTGTGTAGGACAAAGAACTGTTTTAAGATGTTCTGTTCTCAAGTTACTTTTGTTTGTATTTTGTCAGGGAGTATATCTAAAATGGAACTGTTTATTGGCCTGGCTAGGTGAGAGCAAGTTCACGGGTGAGCTTGAGGTAGCTTGGAATTAAATTAGACTATCATTGAAAGTTCACTGACTTGAAATGAGCAAACTGAAATACCTTTCTGTGACAAAAAAACATAAAATAGAGCAACCAAGGCTTTCCTTAATTCAAGTCCAAGCAGATTCTTGGTCTGACTTTTTTATACCCTTCCTGAAGACTTTTCTCTGGCTACAAAGGCTTACCCCCTATACTCTCTAAAACACAGTATGTAACTTATACTTTATTAATTATTAAATAACTCCACATGGTGTAATCATGCCTCCTAACTGCCTAAGACGCACATCTGTACAGCAGTTTTCCATTAAAGTAAATACGGTAGGGATGCAGTCAACTTTGAAATCATTTTGCAGTCAGAACAGAGTTACTTTCATGGTTGTGTGAGAGAGGGGGCTTACTGTTGTGTACTTGTTTTTCAAATATCTAATACATAATTTTAAAATTATTTCTTTACTCAATAGGAGTAAACATCGAGTTGGCAGCAAATTGAATTTTAAAAAAGGAAATCTGTAAGATAAAATAACTAAAATGTTTTTATTTACTTTGTTAAGAAATATATGTGAGCTTTAAAATATTAAGTTTTCACATTTGAAATTGAAATTGGGCTTAAAAGATTCCCCCAAATTCCTTTGAATATTAGATATTGTCATTTCCCTTCAGGCCTGATCAAAATAAGTTTTGAAAAAATCGGCATTAGACATTTTTATTAACATGAAATCTTTTGTATAATAATTTCAAACCTTCTGTCTCTTTTGTCCATTTGTTTGGTTTTTATTTTCTCTGTTATTTGTCCCCCCCCCCATTTTAATTATTTTAAACTGGGACGCGTAGGTGGCAGTGGGGGACATAGTGAGAGTGGCCAATGGGGAACACCTCCCAGCAGATCTCATCAGTGTGTCCTCAAGGTCAGAACCACAGGGTCTCACAGGCGCGTGTACGAGGGTCCTCACCTTAAACCAAGAACAATGGCACCCAAATGCGGTTCAGCTCCCTCCCTTCCTTTAAAGCTCATGCGCGTGTCGTGCTAACTGCCGCGCATCGGAAATATTTTAAAGGCACTTTATTAACACTGCTGAACGCTGTCTGTCCTTCAGCTGGGCAGACTGAACTCCTATTGCTATCAATAGGAGTCCAAGCGATTCTCATTTCCTGTGCACTAGTCACATATGTTTTAACAATATGCCTCAACTTTAAGGCTTTAGCCATTAACTCTCCAGCATATTGTTTTGAACGGTGTTAACCTTTTCATGAAACAGTCGTTGAAAACCGGTTACATTTTAAGCATGTTTTCTTATTCTCGTATTTCAAATTTTCTACACGTTCTGTGGAATTTCTGCAGTGACTGCGACTAAAATTTGGGCTTGTATAGGGTTTATAGAGGACCCCTGCACAAGGCTGGATGTCGTCCGTTTTTGTGCTGCATGCTTGGGGTCAGTCTTTACCCCACCTGTAACTTGTGAACAAGTGCACAGGGCTGTGGTCCATGTCCGCTGTCCCCTGGTGTCTGTGCTGTGGTGTGCATCTTGTTTCGTTTAGCCACTTACTAATCCAAATGCTTGCTTTGCCCCTGACTGTGGTTTTGTGTCTTGGATGTTGTCATGACTTGCTGAAGTGTTTATGAACTAGCATGACTCCTGACGCTTCTGCTTCTTCACAGTTCTATCAGAACTACTGCAGTCATAACTGCCTTAAATCATCATTAAGAATGCCCCAAATTGGAGTGTACTTGATTGGATAAGTACATTTGTTAGTAACATTTTAATGAGTTTTCCTGCCTAGAAAAAAGAATTGGCGGTCTCATTTAGTGTTTTGTTTGTCACCCTTTTTCTTTGTTAGAGGAGAAATGTGTTTTACAGTTTTAGAAACCATTTATGTTTCAAATGAATATGAGGAAATTAGAAAGTTGGACAGTTGCCAGAGTGAGAATAACTATTGTGACCATGAGTTAAAAATATTTTTTGTAATAATTGAAAATGAAAATATAAATATGGAAAGATTTCCCTGTCTGGAAAATGTAAGCCTATATGAAAGAAAGCTCATAGGAAAAATAATTGGAGAATATGCAAAGTTACTTTTGATCTATAAAATATGATTGATGTCTATGTCTAAGTAATTTTTTTTTAATTTCAGGGTGACAAAATTAAGCTAAATATCCATTTCTAGCACTTAGGGCAGTTTTTTTCTTTTTTGCACATGTACAAATTGGAAGTTGATTAAAAAATTCCAATATTTGTGACTTGTTTCTTTTATATTAATAGTTATTTATCAGATATAGGCTTATTATTATGTAGCCAAGTGTTAGTTTAACTTAACAATACCTTTTGGTTATGTTCAGAATGTTCTTCTGGTGAGCTGAGGATTAAATTTACACTCCAGCTGCACTCATATATCTGTAGCAGTCAAACAAATAAAGTAAGATGCTATGATAAAACCAGAGAACATAGTCCCCAGATCACCACATACAGAATGCACTTAAAATATTGAGCTGTGGCAGCTGGGGCGCATGAAGCAATACAGCCAGGTGGGCTGACTTTAGCTTTAGTATTTTTTGTGCTTCAAACATCTCAGTCAGTGCTTGCTTGTATATATGAGGATCCTGCATGAAAAAGCTCAGATGTGATGATACACTTGTAAGCCCACTGCCAAGGAGACAGGCACAGGCAGCTCCCTTGAGCTCACTGACCAGTTAACTCTGTTCTACTCAGCAAGTTCAAGGCCAGTGAGAAACCCTGTTTCAAAAGTAAATGGACAGCACCTTAAGACTGATAGTTGAACTTGTACTCTGACCTCCACACATGTGCATGTGTGCCCTCCCATACACGTATGTCCCTGGCCACACAGGAACACACACACACACACACACCTCAAACAAGTTTTTTCTTAATAGACCAAAAAAGTACATAAAGTATGTCACTTTCATTTTAAAATTCACCCTGTAAAAGTAGCCTTAAGTTTTTAATAGCATGTGATCAGTGTGATCTTATCACAGCTAAAATGATTAAAGTACTTAGCACAAGCCTTTAGAAGGAACAATTTGGAAGTTTTTAATCAGCTGTTTTGCCTAACCAATTTACATGTGGGCTATGAGCATGAAGCCTGACTGGACATCTGAGCTGGAGATAAATCTGGACACAAACCTACTTTACACTTCAAAAATGGTCTGTGTTGTATCTCTATGGATAAGCAAGCAGTTTAAAAACAATGTGGCTCCTCATTATGTCATCTTAAAGATCATCACTGAGTGTTGTTAGGAAATGGCTTTGGGTTCTCCTGGCTGGAAGGCTGATCCATGAGTGTCATGCATGATGAGTGGTTCTGCCTCACACCATCTTGCTGTTACAATGAAAATCATGAAGAAGCTAGGTGACTGTAGCTTTGTCTAGAACAAATGGCTTTGGTGAATCAGAGCTCTTGCATCAATTGTACTTGGTGTCTTCCTTTCCTTCCCTAACTGAATCTTTGTATTTTTCAATTGCAAATAACAGTGAGCCCCAGGCCATGTGCTACATCGAGACATCCAACTTAGATGGTGAAACAAACTTGAAAATTAGACAAGTAAGTTCTACTGTCAATGCTTTATGATATATATTTAAGAATGTCTAAGTGATTCTGTCTAATCACTATTTTCTCTTTGAACCATTGTGAGAAATGTTCCATAAACTGACAGAATTAATTATTGTGGGTTAAATATGACCAATCATGAAATATTATTCATAATACTTTTAACTATTTTATATAATAGTCAATGCTGAATGATGATAATAATAATAGTAGTAGTTCTTAATGCTTGTGTGTGTGTGTGTGTGTGTGTGTGTGAGAGAGAGAGAGAGAGAGAGAGAGAGAGAGAGAGAGAGAGAGAATATACAAATGTACCATTTGGCCTGCACTCACTATATAGATCAGACTGGACTCAAACTCATGGAGATCCACCTGCCTCTGTGAGTGCTAGTGTGTTAAGTTAATTTATTTTTCTTAGCTCCAGTTACTATTGGGTTTGCCATGCTTAAAAGCCAAATTATACAAATGTATATAAATGTGCTCTTCAGACACATTTATCTTGGGGGTTTGAATTACTTTATATTTCTATATTTGCTTTTCATATTATGAAAAGTTGCACAAAACAACTATAGGCTTTTTTTAAAAAAGCTTTAAGGGGCAGGGTTAAAATACATAACACTGGCTTCTTGCTGGATGACGACAATGTCAGTGTGGTGTTTGGGCTATGGTAGAACTGGATGTCATGGGGAAACTGAAGTCAGGTGGCCAATATGGATGCTCTCAGTGCCTGTCCCCTCCAGGTGAGTGAAGAAGTGCTTGGAAGCTCTCCCTGCCAACGAGGAAGGGAGTAAGTGAAGGAGAAAAAGAGGAAGGGCAGACAAACTGCTCTCCTTTATTACAGACCATGCCCATGTTTCATCTCCTTCCTTAAACTCAGGAATCAGAGACTGTACAGCAGCAGATACTAATTTTTACTTGGTCTGGGTACTTTAGAGCTTTCATAAAGGTTATATTATTCTGTACTGAAAGTCCAAGCTCACATTGATAGGAAGGTACCTCTGCAGTATAGTTTAACAGTGTAGAGAGTTTCTGTCCCCTGTAACACTCACCTTCAGTGGCTGCCTGGCATCTCTTCCACACTGTCTGCATTCCTCTTGCCAGAATTCTCTTTGTCCAGTAGCCCTGCCTATACTTGCTGCCTGGCTAAAGCCTGCCTGTTCATTGGCCGAAACAGCTTTATTCATTAACCAATAAGAGAAACATATATTCACAGGATATAGAAGGACATCCCCTATCATGACAGTATTGTGTAAAGGAAGAGAATTACTTGCAAAATAGTGAGATCCCTTGCCTCTAAGACCATGGAGAGTGCCCCACCCTCACAGTACTTATTTAAAATACTCTGTTTATTTGGAAATATTCCAACAGGGCTTACCAGCAACATCGGATATCAAGGACATTGACAGTTTGATGACAATTTCTGGCAGAATTGAGTGTGAAAGCCCAAACCGGCATCTCTACGATTTTGTTGGGAATATAAGGCTTGATGGACATGGGTAGGTAAATTCAGATTCACCATGTCACCCTGGACCCCAAATGATTTTCCTCTACTCTTAAGTGTGAATGCTCACTTGCAACTTTTGTTTTAAGCTTGTCTGTTTTCCAACTCATACGTTTTTAGTAGGAGGCTAAATCCTGACTCTCCCCATAGATACCTGTCGGGCTGGCAGTTAGATGTTGTCAGTGATATTCCAGGGTTCTGGGATTTTCTTTGGTGGTTAAATAGCCTGTGGCTGGTTCTTTCACTGAGATTCTTACCAATGCCCATGACCATGATCCATTCCTATGATCTTGGGATATCTCAAAGAGTTCAGACTATACCACATCAGCCAGTTATTTTTTTTAATCTCTTCTGTCTAATTCTAGTGTATAATTCTATATGCTTTTTTTTTTCTAGGCCATGCTATTATCTGTGGTCAATATTATTGCTACCTCATTTTCAGCTTTCCTACCACTTTGTTATCATTTCTCTTACTCATGCAGTTAAAATTCAATACATATCTGATAGTCTAGACCATTTACAAATATTACATAGGCCACAGTAAGCAAATCAGATATCTTGCCTTTGTGTTTTCATTCATTCATTCATTCATGCTAACAAAAATACCTCAAATTCAAAAATCGATGAGCTGCAGAAATCCACTGCTCCTCCTAGGTCTGGAAGATCAAGTCACCAAATTTGGTGTCTGGTAAGAAAATATTGTGCCCTGTGTCCTTGCATGGTGGAAGCCCTCAGGCATCCTTTTTAAGGTTTCAGTCCCAGTCACAAAAGCAGAACTCGTGTGTGTGTGTGTGTGTGTGTGTGTGTGTGTGTAAAAAATGTGCATGTAGAGACCACAGGTCTGCTTCAGGTGTTATTCCTCAGGAGCCAGCCAACTTGTCTTCCATCAGGGTGTTGCACTGGTGTGAACTCACTAATTGGGAAAGCCTCAGGGATGTTCCTGTCTCCCCATTCCTGTGCTGGAATTACAAGCACACACTAATATCTAGCATCACCATCATTATTATGAATTCTGAGAATCCAGCTCTGTCTTCATGATTACAGAGTAAGCAATTTACTGACTGTGCTATCTCTCCAGCCCATGTGTGCAGAAATTTCAAGAGTTAGTCACCTCCTTCCCAAGAAACAAATATCCTACATACCACAATATTAAAGGTTGAATGTCAGTATGTAAACATTGTGCTGTAGGATTTTGTGAACTTACTTTCTTTTGGTAAATATGTGAAGGGCAGAAATAAAGGAATAAATAAGAAAATTTTATAGCATAGGACAAGAGGTGAAGAAATCTCTTAGATAAGGAAGTGTTCTTAGGAAGAAATCTCTCAGGGTAATTGAAGTCAGACTTCTTTAGGTGACATTTGAACAATATTGATCAGGAGGTTAAGAGTTTAGTCACTTGAATATCCAGAAGTAGAGAATTCTGGACAGAAGAAATCGTGCAAATCACTGTGATTGAAGGAAGAGAAACTGAGGAGAAAGCCAAAAGATAATAATAGGCCAGACCACATCCGACTTTGTGGGCCATTATAAGGTGTTCTAAACAAACTTGAGATCCATGAGCAAGTTAAAAAGGAGAAACGTCATCTCTTTATGTTTGGACTTAATAAGTTTATGAATAAATGTCTGAACTTTGAGAGTAGTGCACATAGAAATTTAAACTCACTGGGGCTGGAAAAAATCATTGAAATTGAACAAGTAGACAGAAAAATTAAAAGACCCAAGGACCGTCTAGCGTTTGAAGGTTGAGAAGAGCAGGGACTAGAGACCAAATTTGTGGAATAAAAACCAAGAAAAAGTGAAGAAACTTCCAAGTAGAGAGGGAGGAACAAAGTTGGGTCAGCTGTCACCAGTAACCAACTACAATGTAGCTGAACATTAACATTTGGATCTATTGAATGGAAATCATGGCCCTTGATTAGAACAGGTTGAGCCTGACATCATGGAGAAGAATTGGCTATAGCAAGTGTAGGCTTTTTTTTTATCAAGGAGTTCTATTGCAATCTAAGGCAAAAAATTGAGGTAGAACCCAGCAAGAAGGGTGGGGTATTTTCTGCCCCACTTCTGTTCCCTGTCTTCATTCCTCCCCTTCTAGTCCTACCTCCTCTACACAATAGGCCTTGTCTACCAGATAGGTGTGGTGGCCAGGTAAGCATCAGCTAGATATACTGGTTCAACCAGCCTAGGGGAATGTTGTCCATGTTCTCACTATTGGGATATGAATGATTAAAGAATTAAATAAGGAACTAAGTAAATGACATATGACATATACCATGGACTAACACTCTGATCTAATCCACCAAAACTTTCTTATGCTCTTTGAGGTAATTGTTAATTCTAAAATTTTCAAAGTAATCTTTCCTTGAACATATGGTTATAGACTACTGATAGATTTGGCCATTTGTATAAGTATCATTTCTTAAGTCTGACATTTTTAACTGGCCAGCTTCCATTCCTTTCCAGCTTTTCTTTGATTGGTGCCAAGCAAATCCATGCCACGAAGAAAACTTTAGATGATGGTGCCAAGATTTAAGAAACTGGAGTTTTATAATATGCTTAATTTTATCAGAAAGGTCGAAATGAATGAGTGAGGCAGGTACTTCAAGGGTGGCCGGAAGGATAGGGGACAGTGGGGAGCAATAAATGTGTGTCAGATATGATACTGAGCCCAATTAAATAGGTGAGGAGCAGTAGATATACATGTGCCCTTGAGCAAAATCCAGAAACTTCTCAAGTACTTTGTGGAACCTGCTTTAGCCTCAAGGCCCCTACCCCACCCCAATCCCAAAATGTACTCCAGAAATTGACTTATATACAAGAGACTTCTGTGGTTTCAATATGGTTTTGTCCCTTAAAGGGTTCACATACTGGAAACTCAACCCCCAATGTAGTGACTACAGATTGACTCAAAAATAACCCTCTTTTTCATACAAAATAACCAGTCCTCAGGCATTTCATAAGCGTTCACAAAATGGCCTAAACTTCATTCCCATCCCAGTGGGCCCTAAGGACTGCTGTTGGATGTAAATGATGGGAGCTGAAATCTACTGTTTCCTGAGGACTCCTGCAGGGGCCATTCTAACCCACACATCTGGATTGATTTCAGTGAGCCAGGAGAATATATTTCCTGAAAAGAGGTCCAATGCCCAAGCTATCTCTAGCCTTAGAAGCTGACTGAACCACCTAAGCCCACCAGAAATACCTATATTCTTTATAGGTCCACTGAAAATGACTTCCTTCTTTTACTAGAAGTTTGAAGTATATTTTCTTTGTTTGGGGCTTTTTTTTTTAACATTAATTTCTTGTTAAATGAAAACCTTGGTTATTAGGAATCTTTGAGCCATTTGATTTTGGATCTTCCATTTCTGTCAACCGACTCAATCAATACACATCTGTAATAGTGCCATCATACTCTTGAGTCTTTTTCAAGTTTTGAGCACCCAATAATGTACCACAAAGGGTACCACAAAGCCTTAGAGGACACACACACACACAGACCCAACCTGGCCTCATTTGTGGAAATGAGGCTAAAAGGCTAAAAGCAAATGGCTTCAAAATGATTACTGTGTATTGGGAATGTTAGCAATTCTGGGAAAACAGATACTAACCCTGTAAAATGAATACTGTAAGGCTCCAGGTCTAGGCACTTATTTCAGAATGGGGATGGTAGTACCAGAATATAGAGTGAGTATTGGGTTTATTTTACCTTGTGTAGTTTTTGAGCCCTGTTTGTATACAAAGTTGTTTATAACTTAAATTGTGTGTGTATGTGTGTGTGTGTTTCTTGAGAGAGTGGGGAACAGATATTTTAGCTCCACCCCTTCCAAACTTTGTGTAAACTTAAGTCAAACATTGCTTGCTATTTGAGGTAGTATATTTGCTTGCTCAAACTGCGATGATGATAGAACTTAGTCAGTTTTATCATTACAAATTTGTTTTTCTTGCCATCTGGATAATGGAAATAAAGGAACATGACTGGACTCTGATGAAGGCCATCTTTGTATCTGGCAAAATAATGTCTTTGCTGTGTATGTTTATATGACAGAGCCATCTCTCAGATATTTTATCAGGGCACTAGTCACTTCACCCCCATGGATTCACCTAAAACTAATAGCCTCATAAAGATGTGGCTGCAGATGTCATCACAGTTGTGGGGGTTGGAGTTTCAGCTTTAGAATATTTGGGGTACACTTATATTCCCCAGGGAGAGTAAAGCTATAGGAAATGGCCAGTATGGTGTTAAGGGTAAAACCTACTTCTTCCCAATACTTATATTTGAAAATTATCATTGTTGGTAGAAAAAAAAAATACTTCCTTTCCAAAAATAAAGATTTAATAGTGGAGACTTTGATGGCTGTGTATTGACCATGTATTTCTTGAGCGTTGTGGACAATGTTAATTTTAATGCTGACATAATCTTTCATAGCACTGTTCCCCTGGGAGCAGACCAGATTCTTCTACGTGGTGCTCAGTTAAGAAATACTCAGTGGGTCCATGGGATAGTTGTTTACACAGGACATGACACCAAGCTGATGCAGGTGGGACTTTTATCTTTTTGAGACTAAGTCTTTTGGAAATTCATGATTCATTACTCATGGTGCACTTGGACCAAACAGAACAGATCTGCCATTGGATAATCCTTACCCTTACACCACACACCCATATTGGGAACAAGATGGACAATATCTTGAAATCCCTTCCCAGTAAGAAGGCTCGCTGCACATAGAAACACTGAGAAACTTAGCCCAAGGTCACCTGATACATCAACACCCAATGAATGGTGGTGTGTGTTAATCTATGACATTTTCCAACTAGTGGTCACTTCAAGTTGCCTGTATAAGAGTGTCTGCATTAAAATATCTGTATCATGTTTTTATTATAATGCACTGATCAAGTTTTAAACTTGGATCTTTTTCATAAAATTTAAAGAAAAGTATAAGCAGCCATTTTTTTTCATGGCATTTCTGTACAAGGCTGTTTTTGCCATCTACTATCCTGATGTTTCTATACACCCATGGGAGCTTCATCTGTACATTGTAATACATTCTATATTCAGTAGTGTGACAAGTATAGGAAACTCACTTTGAAATACTAATTGGAGTTCCACTCCAAGGACCAAGTGTCCCTGTACATCATATAGCTGTGAAGATGCTGTCATTACAAGTGAGATGGTTGGTAGTGCACCTACCCTGGCCATACTGTATATTCTATCATTTAAACTGGTTATGAGGGATTTCCTTTCCTGTCCTGAGGATGCTCGGTTAGCACCAGTCTACCTTAACTACCCAATCACCTCACCTAGCAGAGAAGCACCCTTGTCCTCTGTTGCATAGGTCAGGCTTGCTTCTCAGACCTCCTGTCTCTACCTCCTAAGCCATCCTGCTGCTGCACCCAGTTCTCTGTTACTGATTATAGATGGTAGGACTTGAATTACTGCTGTATGCAGTAAGACAGTTGCTAAATGGCACTAGAGATCCTTTAGATGCTGAGGTTTTTACAGGGCCATGAGCCTTTTTCCCCTGCCTCTTTTCTAAGCAGAGGCACGAAGTAGATGCTTTGGAAAGACCTTGTTTGCTTAAGTAGCCAAGTACATCTTAACCTGCCTGACACAATCTGCAAAATGAGTTTTACCCCCACCCCTTCTTTCTCTCCTTATTTTACAACCTAGAAAAATGTGTACATGGTATAGTGATCATAAGAAAAAAAGGTGACAGCCATGGGCACCTTATTATACTTGTCATGTGTTTGGAACAGTTTCCAGCTCAAATCCAAATACTGGTTGTGACTGTGTCACCCTCATCAAATACTAAGTAAGCAATGCTAAATTGTGCAATTTTTACCATTTGTTTTGTTTTGTTTTACAGAATTCCACAAGTCCGCCACTTAAACTCTCCAATGTGGAACGGATTACAAATGTGCAAATTCTGATTTTATTTTGCATCTTAATTGCCATGTCTCTTATCTGTTCTGTGGGCTCAGCCATTTGGAATCGAAGGCATTCTGGGAAAGACTGGTACCTCCATCTACACTGTGAGCAGTGATGTGCTGGCTTGCTTATTTTCCCCTTTAAGTTAAATCTGCATTTGTTTCTGAAAAGACAACTTGTAGCTAAGATAGCTGGAGGTTTTATCTTTATTTTTTACTAGATTTCTAGAAAAAAAACAAGTAAAATTTAGGTTCTCAAAACTTCAAAATACTTAAAAACATGCCTCCACTCCATAGTAATATAAAATGCTCTATAAATATAACCATTAACATGATACACAAAATAAAAACTGCCCTGTAAAATATATTAAATGTGGCAGTTAAACTTGTGAAAAGAGATTATGTGTGGAAGAAATTATGCGTATTGATTATATTATGAAAACATGATTTACATGCTTTAAAAATGTTTGAACTGAACGCGCTGTCCTTCCTCCCTCCCTGCCTCCCTCCCTCCCTTCCCCCTTTCTCTTTCTTTCTTACTTTCTTTCTTTCTTTCTTTCTTTCTTTCTTTCTTAATGTGCTTTTCTTTGAACTCAATAGCAGAAGGTTTATGAAATCGTTCATCTTGTTCCAGGGAAAGCAGTTTTAATAGCTTCCGTCTGGAACGTGTATTCTCTTGCTGTTCTGGTATTAATGTATCCCCTCTGGGTATTTCTAGGAAGTGAGTTTGCATTTCCTTGTGATGAATACTTAGTCAGTAAATACTTAATATCCCCAAAGTGTGAAAACAAATTCCAGTAAAAATCTTATAGGAAAAACAATAACAACAAAAAAATATTTTAAAGTTATTTTTATTACATTTATCTAACTTTTTATTACATTTAGTTAGCTTTGCAGCTATTCCAAATTATTTACAGTTGTTGATTTATTATTTCAGCTTAAAAAATGTTATTGCTGTAATCAATTTGTGTATATTCCTTACAATATTTAAGTCTTCCCTGTTTCATTTTCCTTATTGAAGAGGAAGAAGTTAATTTACTTCGGAGACTAATTTACCTAGAGATGAATAATGTTCCTGCAGCTAAGGATACAGCTCAGTATATATCCTATAGTCCATGCACAAGGCCTCCCAGAGACCTGAACTGGAAAAATAAGAAGTATTCTTACAACTAGATTATTCCAGTTGCTATTGGGTTTGCTTTCAACCCACGCTTTAGTCTGAAAATGCTTTTAAGAATTAACATAGAAGTGGTTCCATCCAATTGAAAACTTGCATTTACAAACCTTCAATCCTCCTAATGTCTCTGAACTTCCTTATAAGAGCACGATTTACAATACCAATAGCTAGAGCACTCTGCACTTCTCTTTCACTCCTGGTTTTCCCCAATAAGGTTTCTCTGTGAAGCCCTGGCTGTCCTGGGACTCACTCTGTAGACCAGGCTGAACTCCAGAGACCCACTGGCCTCTGCCTCCCTAGTGCTGGGATTAAAGGTGCCAGGTTTCTTTCATTTTTAAAGAGCACTGTGGGGGTCTTAATAGGGTTAACTGTTGAATACAAATACAACTGTAGCTCTATGTCTTTGGAACTTGGTGCTAGGACATCAGGAAAGGTTCATAACCTGACAGATGCCCAAGCCATTTATTTTAAATGACCCATTGTTTGCACTGTGTGTATTCTGTCATATACTGTAAGCCAAATCCAGATTACTTAATATGCATGATGCAAAGTGTATTCTGCATAGGTGCTTATTATACTGTATTATTTAAGGAATAATTAGTTTATACACATTAAGTACAGACAGAAATTTTTAGTCTAGAGTTGGTTGAATTCCCTGATGAGAGACTCTCGAGAGGATGACTAAACTTGATTCAACACTGAAGGAGGTGTTTGAGAATCAGGATATGTTCTTAGCAAAGTCTCCCTCGGCTTGTCTAGACTTGCTATATAATATAGGAAATTCTTGTGCTCAGGTTTTCTTACTGCAGATATAAAACTGTAAAGGATGTTCTCCCTCCTTCCCAACAGATGGTGGCGCTAATAATTTCGGACTGAACTTCTTGACTTTCATTATCCTTTTCAACAACCTCATTCCTATCAGCTTGTTGGTTACATTAGAAGTGGTAAAGTTTACCCAGGCATATTTCATAAATTGGGTAAGTATGAATTTGTATAATATGCCAACTTCCTAAGTATGTATTTTTGTCTTTTTTAAAAAATTTACTCTGATAGGGTCTTTTGATCCGTGGAGGTTAAAAACAAAAACAAAAACTGTAAGACTCAGTTATATGTTGTTTTTGTTGTTTTTAAGCCTAATATAATTTTAACATGTTCTCAGAATCAGGCAAAATGGTTACACCAGACATCCTGAGGAAAACTGGTGTCTAGTTCAGGAAACCTGTTTGGGAACACACAGTGTCTGTAGAGGAAAGATACCCTGTGTTTGGAATGGTAATATCTATCTTGTAGAATCAGTCTCATAATTTACCACAGAAGCAACTTTGTCTAGTCACTGGGCTTCCTGGAACTCTGTTTCTGGACACTTACATGACAACGACAAGGCGTTTTACCTGAATCTCACAGTATTTGTACAACTCGGGAATCTGTTTACATGGCAAAGGGCTTTATAAGCACATAACTGTGCTTATGCCAACATGATTGAGGAATTTTTTCATCCATCTAGTTCATTTTTGACAATGTAAATAACTTCAGTGAGCATGGTTTTTCCATTTGAATTATTTACTACATTGATGTTTTAATATTGGTGATATGTGTTAAACACCTGTCTTCTATATATTTTCATCAAATATTGTTTTGTTCTTTCAGTTTTATCTTAGTTAACATTAATGAATTTGCGTGCATTATATCTCCAGGCATAATTTGCCAAAAAGTTGATTTTTTTTGAGAAATTTTATTTATACTTTTTATGTTCCAAACTCATCTTAAAGCTTTTGATATGAACAATATTGGGAGTTTAAAAATATAACCAAAGATACGTTTGTATTTGTTCATTGTCTTCTTGTGGTGAGTAATATTGCCTCTTTCTTGTCTTTGGTAAAAGATCAGTGTAATTCAGGAATTTGAAATGATCAGTGGGCATAGTTCACTCTCCACAGGAAGTATGTGCTGAAGAATTGAGACATATATACAGATAATATGAAGTTAATGAAGGGCTCTCATTCACATAAATAATAAGGCAAATGCACTGTGAAGATCAAATGGCTACTGAAGCCCTTATTTTTTTGTGTAAGATTCAAAAGCTATTATTGGTTTTGAATAGTTACATAATGGTAGTGTTGAGTAAGCCTGGCAGGCTCTTGCTTTTTTTAAGCACCTTCTTAACTAGCAGAGATTTGTGATGGCCTTGACAAGCCAGCTTCCTCCTTGGGTGGAAATGAGAACAATAACTGTCTCTTGGATTCTGCTTCTGGCCCTTTGTCTAGAACAACTGTATGTTCATATAACAATGCAGTATGGATTTCTGAATGGTAGCTTTGAAAACATTTAACCTCAGCTGTCCTGTCACACCTATTTTTGTCACACTGTCCCTCCTTTCCTCCTGTCTTCATTTCATATGGCTTCGAGAATAATCTGTGTGAGAGCCGTCTCTTCTCCTCTCTCAACATGACTCACTTGGCAATTGTCTGTCTTCCAACATGACATGGAAACTCAAAACCTGGTCTAGAAACAGAGACAGGAGGATGTAAAACCCAACAAACTACAACCTTGACTTGTTAATACAGTATTCTGCTGTAAAAACTCTTCGATAATGGGGTTGGACATCGGGGTCAGACTTCATGGTCACTAGGTACAATGCAAGTTCAAAGAAATATAAAATTATACCTCTTTTGATTGACTGTCAAGTACTTGAAATAAAAGAAATTTAGCATGAGAAGTTCAACCAGATGTGCTCACTTAGCTAACTTTTCCTATTGCTTGAAGAGCTAACTATATGAAAACATTAACTGCCTTTCTAGCAAATATCATTAACAGCTACCTCGCATTACTCTAGGGAGCACTTTGTGTTTATTGTATTAAATTAACCCTGACTGGAGGCTAAGTTTATTGAGAATGAAGAATGGGAGTAAACTCTCTGTCTCTGCAAACAAGATCTCACCACCATATTCTCCTGTTCTAATGAAAGTGAACCATTGCCTGCTGAATGCTTTTCAGGACACATACCACATAGAGTCATGTTGAAAGCAAGGAACTAGAGTGATTACACAGAGCTCAGCTGTCAAATGGTGACTTGTGAAACACGAAAGAACAAAGTCATTTCTTTTACTGATCCAGTCCCCCAGTACTTTGTATTCAAGGATGTCACTTACTTATTTGTAGGATCTAGACATGCACTACGAGCCCACAGACACTGCTGCAATGGCCCGGACATCTAATCTGAATGAAGAACTTGGCCAGGTAAGCTCTTACTGACACAGCTGAATCAGAAATGAAGTTTGGTAGAATTTCTGCCTTATGTGTTGACTTCAGATGAAGTAGCATCTCTTCATTTTCCATTGTGTGAATAATCCACATAAATGCATTTGTTGATGCCTAAAATACAGTGTTCATATTTAAGAGTAGAGTCTTAAGACACTAAAGCAGATTTTTCTTTCAAGGCAAGATAATATGCAAACCTAGGTGTATTTTTTAGGAGGTAGTCCTAAAAAATTAGATGTAAGGTATTGGCTGGTTTTGACTTATAAGAATAGTAAAGGAATTGTTCGTAACTTTCATCCAGATGGGAGGAAAAGTGAAAGTTGTATGAATCTAGTCAAATAGGAATTTGGATTAGATTTATAACTCACACTTCATTAATACATACAGCTTTGCATCACTCAGGGTTGTGTTCTGAGCAGTGCATTGTCAGGTGATGTCATCTTTATGTAAACATCCTAAAATGAACTTCCACATGCTAACAACTATGGCCTCAGGAAGCAATATAGTCTTGTGATGTCTACATCATGCATGCATCCTTCATTAACTAAAGCATTGTTATGTGAATATATATTCACAATCCATTTATGGGTACTAGCTGAAAAGGGAGTTGTTTTTTTTTTTTTTCCTCCTCTACTTTCCAACTCATACTATTCAAATTGCATTCAGAACAGATTATACTGTTCCTTACTAAATTAGACAGCATCTGAAGTTAACTGCACAAGCTATTGCCAACCCTAGAATTTCCTGTTATATTGAGAAATGCTGGTTAGGTATTCGTGCTATGTATGTTTGAAAACAGCAGTGAAACTTTCTGCAGAAATTCAGATTTTCCTGCAGCAGATTTCTCTCTGACTCTAGTTTTTCTAATACATATTAATTCCTGTATATAAAAGAATTGATCACTGAAATACTAAAAGAGCTGAATTTCTCCTTAAAGAGTGTAGTGAATGCCATTCTAGCAGCCATTCTATCCCCACAGTATAACAAAGTTGACATTTAAAGAAAGTATTATATAAGTACATTTTCTGCCCTCTCTAAAAAATTTCTGAGCAGGATGGATACAACTCATGTGTAGGCGCTTGCCTGATATGCATAAGATGGACATTTTAAAGCCCTGAAATATTAATTAGGATTTTAAACTTGTTTGTAGGTTAAATACATATTTTCTGACAAAACTGGGACCCTGACATGCAATGTGATGCAATTTAAGAAGTGTACCATCGCAGGCGTGGCTTATGGGTGAGTGTGTTCCCGTTACTTGGTGTATGACATACACATTTAGTTAATGCCATACGTTTGCAATATTTGGAAATTCTTGTGCAAGGAGGGTTCGAGTTTTTTGTTTTTGTTTTTATCTAGAAAGCAGTTCTTTTTACTTTGGGGTGGATCGATTGTGTATTTTACAGCTGGTCTTGCTTTCCTCGGAAGATGATATGGGGTAGAGACTAACTGGCAGTTCTTAGAGTTTAGGGTTTTTAAGGTCTCCATCTGGCCCCAAGCCAAGGTGCAATGGAGATGTGTGAAGACGCTGTAGTGAGGCCTTGGTCTGTCCTAAGTAATACTGCATTGCTTTGACAATTACTCTTGTTTTACCTTTTGTCATGTCTCCCCTCTGTAGTCACAGAGCAATTTAAAATTCTGATGATGGGAAGGAGGTAGGAAAATGAGCATCTTCACTCTGGAGAACAGAAGTGTTAATGTCCTTCAGATTGGGTGTGGCATCCATTTAATTTATTTCTTGTTATAATTATGCTTCTCTAAACTATTCAGAGACACACTCCTTCTGGTTGAGTGGCCTTAGCAAATTTTGCAACTATCCTTACCTCAGTGCAGCAAGTAAATATTGATGTCTTAATTACATTACTTGCTTTGGGTGTTGCTGGCTTGCACACTCTATTTTCATTCATACTTTACCTTTAAGCAGCAAGTCAGTGGAAAAGGGGTGTTCAATTTTGAAAACATTTTAAACTAAATGTATTATTCTGCGAACAAGAGCAGAGCCTGATAGGCTTGTTTCTGAGGGAAGGAGAGAGTTTTATTCAAAACGACTTCAACCTGTGGATACAGGCTTTTCCTGTGGATGGCTTTCCACTGAAGAAATTTGTAAATTTTTTTTTTCTCTTTATCTGAAGCCTGATAGTTCTCAGAGAAAATAGCACTCCCCCATGATCCCCAGAATTTTTCCTGGAGCAGGACATTCTTCATGCTTTCCAGAATACTGAAAGCCACACTTCAGCTAGTTAAGCTACTTCCCAGCATCACACAGGGCTTGTACATTTGTGTTAGTGCCCAAAGCTCTCAGTGTGATTTTATGTACATATAAATTCATATATGAATTCCTTGAGAATTTCATGCAATGTATTTTGATCATATCTACTCCCACTTCAGCTCCTCCCAGAGCCACACCTCCCCCTTATTGAATAAAGTTCCAGCCTCATTTATCCTTATCGATTACTGGAGTGTCAGCATTGTAGAGGCCTGGTGATATACTAAGGATTTGGAGAAACTGACTTTTACTGACCACATGTTTCTATCAACAGGGTAGCCTTGCTACCTGATCCCACAGCTGACACACAGAGGAGTCACAATCAGCCACCTTACTATGGGCTTTCCTCTGAATCCTCCTGGGTTACAGGAACCTACACAAGTTCCCATTTATACTGTAATTCTGTTAAACATGAGGAGTTAGTGCAGAAGATATCCCAGTGTTCATCCCCATCAGACACTCTGGAAATGACAAAACAAGAGAAAGTAACACATTTTAGATGCCAACAAGTAAGTTTGCAGTTTACAGCTCATCCTTCTTTGGGCTCTCAGTAAATTCCTGTGCTGTCTCATTGTATCAGCTAGAAGGTAAGGGCTGTGAATCTCCCAACAGTGGAGTTTGTAGTTAGTTCTCCTGTATCCTGAAATTTTGTATGGATAGTGTATTTAACACCAGTGTTTCAGAATTTAGTTTTAATAAAGTTCCTCTTGTTTCACTTAAGGTTTGCCTCAAACCTTGTCTGTTTGAATTTATGACAGACAATGAAATTCAAAGATTGATACATAGTTGCCAGCAATGACATTTCACAGCCATCAGCTTTGTAGTAAAGATGCCTCTGTTTATACTTACTGGGTTTTTTTCTTAGATTATCTTATGGGAAAGCTGTAATTAAATATACATAAACTGTTGTCATTTATAAATTTAACTTGCTACAATCTAGAAGTTATACCTTTAAGCACTTAGAAAAGTGTCAGTGTGCAGGTTACAATATGGGGATGCCTGTGTTATCACAGCCAGTTGACTGTGACTGTGAAGATTTGAAGAGTTTTCCTTATATCCTATACTTGTCATCAATTTAGTCTATACTCTCCCTGGGGCTAAAAACAAAACAAAACAACAACAACAACAAACAACAGTCTATTAAGTAACCTGAACAGTTTTTTTTTTTTTGTTTTGTTTTATTTTTATTTGGGGGACCAGAGATTTTATTAGTGTTAAATTATTTACCCTTTTCCTTTGGGTAAAACAGATGAAGATTCTTAAAGACTATCTGTACTGACTTTAGTATGGGAATAGTTTACATTGCAGCTTTTTTTAGAAGCATGTTTGGTAGGAAATTCTACAACTCTAAGGAGAGATTCACTAGGAACATCTGCAGTTATCATACACCTAGCCCTAAGGACTAGATTATAGTCAGTTCATGTATCTGGTGGCCATCCATGAACTTTTGTTTACATACAACAGATGTTGATCTGCCTCCTTCTGCAGGTGGTTCTTTGTTAAGTAATAGAAACCTAAATAACAAGAGTTAATAGGTATTAATTAATTATGAGACAATAGTATCCATGGCAACTCATACAAACAAGTCACCGGCTACCCACCACCCTCTAGACAGCACTCAGCTTCTGACAGAGCTGCACTAGACTCAGGGGCAGGCACTGTAGCCCTCATGTTCAGGGGCTGGTAAGCCTCATGACTTAGGAAGCACTAGTTCCAGAGCTGGTGTGAAAGCAGCCATGAGAAGGGCACAATACCAATGCAAGCTGTCAGGACCTTCTCCATGGGCAGGGTACAATACCAATACAAGCCATCAGGAACTTCTCTAGGAACAATACCAATGCAAACTTTCAGGACCTTCTCTGGGTATAATACCAATGCAAGCTGTCAGGACTTTTTTTACATTGTTTTCTGCTTGGACAGTTAGTAGCACTCCCCTGAACAGTGCAGGGACAGGAGCCCAAACTTTGAGGTTAATCACAAGTGGTTGTTCTTGGTACTAGAGCCCATTTCCACGGTGCATTGCCACAGGTCAGCACCTTTCCTGGAAATCCATCCCAGGATGGGCAGGGCAAGTGCTTCCTCCTAAACAACACACACATGCCCTTGACAGGAAAGAATAGTGGGCTAAAGGGATCCCTTTCATTGTGACTGCTAGATTAGAGGGAATGATGCCCCTAGAGGAAATGCAATGTTTTGGAAGTAGACCTTGTCATGGCTAGGTTAAAAGTGGCTAGGCATTTAGGGAGTTAATGAATTCTTTAAGCTCTAGCAGCTTATTATATTCATCAAAAACCATGTATGTACTTTAAACTCTACCTATTTATAGAAAGTCTAATTTAAAGGGGAAATACTGAATTATTATATGTAAGGAAACAACTGGGGAATAAGAAAATCTACTCTGGCCAGGCGTTGGTGATGCACACCTTTAATCCCAGCACTCGGGAGACAGAGGCAGGTGAATCTCTGAGTTTGAGACCAGCCTGGTCTACAGAGCTAGTTCCAGGACAGGCCCCAAAGCAATACAAAGACACCCTGTCTCAAAACAAAACAAAAGAAAAAGAAAAAAAAAAAAACTACTCTGATGTGTATTTGGGTGTTGTATGCAAGTTGGAATAATTGTATCAGGGGATCTTCCCCATGCTTCAGTGGGCTTGTGGGTAAAATTAAAATTTTGAAGAAAACATCTTTCAAGGTTAAAAATTACTTGATGAATGGACCATTTTAAATGTCAGTGGTACCATTTAATCAAACAAATCCAATTAAAAGTTACCATGTACTTTCGTATGCCCACATAGGAAGTTACTGTCTCAAGGCAGTCAAAGTTCTGATTTTTTTTTTTTTTTTTTTTTTTTTGGCCTGTGATTGTGCCCTAGGTGACTAGCATGTTTGTATCATTAAAACACTGTTATGGTTATAAATATAAATGATTGACTTCCTACTAGCTTTATAGCATATGTTTAAACAGCTATAGTCAAACATATTTATTACTAAACTTTGGCTTCTGTGCTTTAGTCAGTTCTGGGAAACGGAGTACCTTTGTTAAGTCCACCTGGTTACCATGAATCCTCATGTTCTGCTCACTGTACTAACTACCATTCTTCCAGATCCAACTAAAAGCTCATTTTCTTAACTTTCTAGAAACCCGCCTCTCAGCACTTCCCTCATTCACGGTTTTGTGTTTCCAGCCTTTCTGTGATTATTTTACCCTCTCTTTCTGTCCTTCCTCCTGAAGCCATGTCCCCGAACCTGAGGATTATGGGTGCTCGCCTGAAGAATGGTAAGCTATGTGGTACTTTGGTCTCCTTGAAAGGTTCTGTTGTATCTGTCGCTGTGTTAACCAGGCTTCCCTGGGCACACAGGAAACTGTCTTCACAGCTGTTGGGTGATGATGCTCTGTGGCATGTATTTCTCAAACTTTGTTAAATATCTTTGGATTTTCTATAGAAAAACCTTCATAAACATATTCTAAAACTTTAAAGGTTGCTAGAGCCTTATATTATTTATCTATAATCTGTACGGATCCATTCCAAAGTGCCCAGGCAGGGAAAACTCCATGAACTCTCAGCTACAGCTCTTAAAGCTTGCTTATGTTTTTAGCTCAGCACTTCCCCCTTCTGCCCGAGCTATCGAACAGATAATGCTGGGCCATGAAGGTGCAGTACAAGTTTTCTTCTACCTTGTTCATTATTTGGAGGCTGTAAAATGAAGATACAAGTGCTCTAGAACTATGCTGCCCGCAGTTAACAGTAAATGCAGATTAATTCATTTTAGGGTTTTTTTTTTACTTTTTATTATTTCTTTGTGAATTTCACATCATGCATCACGATGTCAGCAACGGTTTAGATTTATTAATGCTAGCATATTATCAGTTTAATTTCACTACTATGGGAAGTTTCTAGGATTTTGTTTTGTTTTACTTTAAAATCCTTTCATCCATGCATTTACATTTTTATCTAGGGAAATTTAGTGTATTTTGTTATTTGTATGAGTTGTCATGATTTGGTAGCAAATAAAATTTAAGAAATTCTGATTTCTTTAAAGGTTTTTTGAGAATATTGATTTTTGAGAATATTGAGGCTTTCTTTTATTTATCGGATTTTATGTGACTAAGTTATATTACTGCTGTTAATTGAAGTCCAGTCACAAAATAAGCTTTCAACCCACTTAGACTTTATCTCAGTAGAGCTTTGATAAGAGTTTTTAGTAAAACCCCAGTCAGTGCACACGGCTACTGATGGAGGCAGGTCTCCCATTCATGTGAAAGTGGTACGGTCAATTACACAGAGCTCCCTCCCATACAGTCTGACACCTGTCACAGCTAACCAGCTCTTAATATTGCTCAGGGTGCCAGAGCACATTATCTTTGGTTGGTCATTCAAGCTAAGCGGAGCATACACCCCTACTTATTTGGTCCTGTGACTCTGTAGTTACGGTTTTTACTGTGGGTGCTCTTTGACTTGTGGTCAGTTACCATCTGAATAAAGTCCTTGTGCTTTTTAGAACCTGTGTGTCTTTCCTCTTGCTGTGCCTATAGCACCGTAATCCTACTCATTTTAAACCCTTTATTTTCTAGTCAGATTATGAATATAAACAGCTTCAAACAAGTTAAAGGTACACATAAAACACAACCTGAATTCTGTCTGCTTAAAGCTTGCCCATAAGTGACTTTAAAAAAATAAATAAATAAAATAAAGTATCTTTTGGGGGAAATCTGAGTTCAAATGAAATATTCCAGTTTTTTTTTTTCATAAATGGTATATTTTCACTTGTCGTTGAATCTAAAAGTAGTTAAACACTAGAAGGCCTGAGCAGTCTAAGGGACCTCAGACAGTGGAACCTGGATGTATTCCTGGTGCACAAAAGGACCTTGCGAACACATCCCCCATGGAGGGATACTCCCTTAGCCTAGAGACAGGAGAGAAGTTCTAGTCCCTACTCCAAATGACGGGACAGATGTAGATGACCCCAACTGGAGGGCATCACCCTACATGTGAAGTGGGGGGGGGCACTGGAGGGGAGGGTGGTTGGGGGGCATGAGAGGGTGGGAAAGAGGGAGGTAGGGAAGGAGGGAGGGATAGGGAACTGGGATCCATATGTAAAATTAAACAAACAAACAAAAACACCAGGAAAGACACTTGTCACCTTTATGGCAAAGGTGCTCTGTTTGTATACTTGGGTTCTCCATCTGTAAAGTATTTACCTGTAGGCTTGTAAAGGTGGGGGTACAGTTTTGTGAGGCTCTGTGTAGGGTCGAGTGGAATGGCCATGCATATGAACTCTGGGTTTTGACCACTAAAGTTCAGATTCTGACCGGACCTTCAAACGGGTTGCTATTTGCCCAAGTGGCCTCATTGGAAGACTGTGGTCACCACTAACGCTTACCTCAGTGGGAAACTTTGAAAATTAACTGAGCTCTAGCCAAAAGGCTAGCACTGGTGGCTCTCGCTCCTCATCATATATTTGACATGATCATTTTCAAGTTGATAGGATTTAGACTGCCAGTGAGCACTCTGCCCAAGAATCCAACCAGCAGACCTGGGAGCCAGCCTTGAGCCCAGCTGAGCCTGATTACAAAGGGTGTCCGTTACAGCACACACCTACAGACTTTAAGAGCTTGTGTTTCTCTTGGAGCACAATTTAGCTTTGCATTTCAAGTCCCTCCCCTCCCTGTTTCACTTAATGTTTTCCTAACTGAAATCTATTTCAGAAAAGTTGCTGAAGTTTCAAAGGAAGGGCAAGTAGAAGGGCTGCCATCTGGCTGAGTGGAGGAAAGTTAGCTTGGAGCTTCACATGTGACTCCGTTCTTTCAAAAGCTGGGCATTTGTCCTGCCTCATCTAACTGTGGCTGAGAAAACCGAGATCAGATGTGGTCTTGGCAGAGCCCCGTGCTCTGGGTATCTGACAATGCCTCCATGTTGCTCCTCTCTTCCACAGGACAGAGTCTGGAAGACTCTGTCACTGAAACTCTGGAAGTCATCCCCTCAGTGGCTGCTTGGCAGCTTCATTTGGAAATAAGTTAACTGAATGACGCATAACAAACTTGGAGCTGTGTACGTTTGTTTAATCGTCCTGCTTGAAATGGCACCCAGTACAAAAATGTCAAGAAAATCCACATGTGTAGACTACGTGTTTATATTTGGTTCAAAAAGCAACCTTATAATACATCGGCCCTTTCAAATATACACTCTTGCTATTAAAGATTGGATGATAGCTGAAATTCTCTAAAATATATTAATATAGGTGGTTTGCTGAGAAAATGGCTTCCCATCATGTAGTCACTCACTCCAAAATTGGCATTGTTTTCCTGTTACTGCCCAAAACATCAACTTGCATGGAACCTTGCAGACTAATTCCTTTCTATTAAAAACCATTATCTAAATTGATATGATAAATATTTAAAGAATTAGAGAGAAAACCACCTTTTACTTTCAACACCCATGTAATCATAAGGTCTGTCTATTTTCAAGAACTGTATATACCCATAACTATTTTCATACACACACACACACACACACACACACACACACACACACACACACACCTTTGGGAAGTTTACCCGTAAGCAGAATCAGCAGATGTCCCCGTCAATAATTTTAAATGTGTGCTCTAGGCCAGTTTCATCCCACCTGTGCCTCTACAATTCTACAATTATCATTCCTTTTCTCTTAACTCTTGGATACAGTCCTTGTTTTTCTAGTAGATGACAATGGGGCAAACGTCCAGAGACAATTTCTTAATGTCGGCCCTGCCTGCAGTCATTTCAGGGTTTGAGATATTATTACAGCATCTGCAGTTTACACTAGTTTCTCTTTTCTGCGTGGTTATTTCCTCATTTCATTCTAGCCTATAATTGTGTGTGGAGTGAGTGGCATTTATTTACTCTGCTGTAAAAGGTAGGCTCGCTGAGCCATTCTTCCAGGCATGCCCTTATAATAATGCGATCTAGTGCACACCTACATTAGCGTCAGTCTTCAAAGTAATCCCCTTGGCAGGCTGTTTATTCAATGGTGCAGACTTTCACACAGCGTTCTATAACTCCTCTTTTGTTATTGCCTTCAGAAATACCTGTAGTCACCCAGGAAACTGAGTCTCATTACTTTGATACAAACCAGTCATTATCTAGCAAAAACAGTGAATTTAATCACCCATTCAAATTCTTGGACTTGACTCTGGGTTACAAATTCATGGCTACAATTTAAATCTCCCAGCAAGCCATTTTGATTCCAAACCAACAGGATCTTTAAAATCATGGAACTACAGACCCTTGGTGGGGGAAAGGAAGAAGAGAAAAAGAGGAGGAGGAGGAGCAGGTGGGGGAGGAGGAGGAGGAGAAGGAGGAGGAGGAGGAGGAGGAAGAAGAAGAAGAAGAAGAAATCAGTGCTCTGACTGCTGGGGCCAGAAAGTCCTTCAGCTGTGGAGGAATGGTCCACTAGGTTAGAGAAAGGGTCAGAGAGGATGCCAGTCTAACAAACTTTATTCCACCCTGTTCATTGCCTCAGAAAACTGCTTCATGCTGCCAAAGGAGCGCTACCCTGTGTTGCTCAGGAGACATAGCACTAATCAGGAAACCAACCTCCACACAGTGGTTGTATGGTGGGCTGTGAGCTTGTCCAGGCATACTGTGCAAGTGCTATTCCAGTAGCTTTTTACATCTAGCCCATCACACAGTATCTCATGGAGCATGTGTCCATGGCTGATTTCCAAAACAGAAGAGATTCCAAGACGCTATTAATCAACACATATCGCTGAAGTGTTGACGAGAGAAAATTACACCTTTCTCCTGGGATTGAGATTATTTTGTCTTCAAAATTGAATCATTTGGGTAGAAAGAGGAGTTCTTGCCCAGCTAGGACTCTGTTTCTCTGTGATCATTTCCATGGGTAATTATTATGTGGCTTTAGGTGTTAGAATATAAGCATAGCCAAGAGTCAGTCCAGATCTTTGGAACAATGATTAGCAGTGTTCACCAAGTGTTTCTGTACAGTTTATCCTGACAGCATCACCTAATCTCACTATGGCTGGAGCACTCTTGCCTGGTGGTCCTTGTTGCTTTCTTGGAACAGCTTAAGGAAAAATGCAAGAAGTCTTCTTTCAAAGCTTGGAAAGTTTTATGGGCAGCAGAAAGTTGAACAAGAGCGAAGGCATGAAGGGAAGACCTGCCACCTAGTGGTACAAAATCTAAAACACACTCTTAACTCTAAGGAAGGCAAAAGAAACAAGCCACTCTGAGGAATGCCAGTAGGAAACTGAGAGATGTAAAGAAAGAAAGGCAAGACA